ATGGTAGGATGGAGCGGGGATGGATCGACGGATTGGGGCCTCATCCTCAGCAATGAGGGTGTTGCTTTGGTCAGTTTTAATGAAGAAAGAGCTGAGTCGAAAGTCAAAGCTCTCGATTTACTGGCCTGCCTTCATTCGTAGGGTGGCCGTGCTGAGCCTTAGAGATAGTGTGAGGAGCTTCATCATCCTGGGGAGCTTGGAGTAGAGCCACTGCTCCTCCGCATCAAAAAGAGTCCATTGAGGTGGTTCATTTGATTAGGATACCTCTTGGATGCCTCCCTTTAGAGGTGTTACAGACACGACCCRCCATTAGGGAGCCCCGGGGAAGACTCAGATCTCGCTGGAGGGATTCTGTATCTTCTCTTATCTGGGAACGCCTCGGGGTTTCCCAGGACAAACTGGAAAGTGTTGCTGGGGAGAGATGTCTGGGTTTCCTCCCACACCTGTTTCCTCTTCAACCCATTATAGATAAGCAGCAGAAGATGGATAAATGTTTAATAAGTTCTTTAAATTTTATTATTTAAGTACATTATATATCAGAAACTTACTTTTGACACATAAGTACAGTAAAAATCAATTAGCTAATATTCTTGGGAGATTTTAACTTTTATCAAAGTCATTCTATGATAAGATACTTATACTTTTACTTAAGTATCACTTTGAGGAAGTGAGGTGAAAAATCACTTCTTCTGGTCCAAAAGTGAACTGCCGTTGATCTCGGATAAAGATGACTCTGGATTCAGGCTGGTTTGAACAGCAAGCAACTTTATTACTGCAGATCAAAAATACAGCCTAAGATCAAATTGTGGCCTTCAGCCAATTGATTTCTCCAGTACGAAAGTCGGAGAAAGAAAGGCCCCAAGGTGGGGGTGTACAAAGGTTTTCAAGCAACAGATGTACATAAATCACGGTGTACCTCAAACGTTGTCCTAAAATGGTGATGTGTGTGGAACTCTGAAGCTGAATGGCCGATGAGCCACACGTGGGCATTCCTGAGACAAACCCCCACTCTTAGGACACTACAGAAGTTTATACAAGACTACTAAGATTAAAACACTTATGTGCCCAATATCTCAACAAGCAGCTTGTTGCTGATAAAATTCCATTTAAAGTMTTTCATGTTAGCTCATTTTATAACCAAGTTAACCTTGAAATTCCTTGTACCTCTTTAAAGTGAACTTATCCAGAACAATACTCAAGAGGTCATAAAGAAAAGAAATAAAGTTTATTCTATTATCTTTACATTTTAAAATGTTTTAAACAGCTTTATTGTTTAAGTGCTGTAAGTCTAATAATTAATTTGGAAGCCTTTAAAATGTATTTTCTCAGCCATTTATTAGATGGGGGGTTTGGAGCAATGGGTGGATGTTTGTGACATAATGGAAACAGGCTTGTGTCATGGTGGGGTCATAGTGCAAATCACCCCTACTCTGGATCAAACAGCGTTATCTTACTGCTGCAAGTTGGAGATATGGTTAACGTCCGTCTTTGGGATCAGTACAGAATAGGCGACAATGCCAATACATATTAACAATAATAATAATGCATTTTATTTATAGGCGCCTTTCAAAACTCTCAAGGTCACCTTACAGAAGTCAACAATAAAAACCACAATAAAACAATAAACACAATAAAAGCAATAAATCAGTTAAAATAAAACAAAATAAAATAGTGTAAACTATGAGAATACTGGTTGGTAGATTTATGGTTCAAATGTGTATGCTTTCTTGAACAGATTGAACAGGTTTTGAGTTGAGATTTGAATGATGTAATGGAGATGGAATTGATAAGGTCCAGAGGGAGAGAGTTCCACAGGCGGGGGGCYGAACAGCTGAAGGCTCTTGACCCCATGGTGGTCAGGCAATATTATTGTTTAAGAGAAGTAGCTGATTTCCTTCATCACAACTTTACAAATGATTATGGCACCTTTGAATTGGCATCAGTATTGCAACAATCAGTAAAGACTGTATTTTTAAAATCTAAAGTACATCACAGTATTAGATCCAAGACAATATTAACTKTTCTTATTCTCACTCATTTGAAGGTAATGAGGTATTCTGGGTAGGCCTGGTCATCGTGAAAGATAATGAACATGGAGGGTTGCTGCTGGTTGTCCACCAARCTGTTGAAGCAGTCRGTTGGGTCAGAACCTCGAGGCGGAGGGGCTATCATGGAGGATTTACCAACTGTATAACGGCCTGTAAGTACACGAGCAACATACACCCGCTTCAGGCCTGACGCATCTGCTGGAGCAAATCTGTCAGCTGAATAATTTGCATTGACAGCAAAGTACACTCCTCTTCCATATACAGCAGCTGTAATAGAAAAAATAATTTTTTGAAGCATTCTAAATGTTAGGATCAGTAGTTATTATGCCAAAGGGTTTCTAACTTTCTATAATATTTTATTATAACTGTATGTACTATGAACTGTACTCTTTTTTATTAATGACAAAAAACTTACCATGCGTGCCGGCATAACTCCTGTCAAATCTGTCTCTTTCAATGCAGTTGCATGACTCCGCTGATGTGCCGTGGTACAGAAACTTCTCACCCAGTTCTGCTACACCGTTCTTTGCAGTTATGCGCTGGCGACACACGTTAAAGGCGTGCCAAAGGTAGACATTCTGGATGCGCTCAATCTAAACCCAAAATAAAGTGAATTACTTTCTCTCAAAATGTTCTATTTTAGAATCAGTTTCCAAAGTAAGATTTTTTTGGGGGGGCTAAAGTATACTTACTTTCTCAATGCTGTATCGAGCCTTTTTGAGGAAACCACAGGCTAC